CCTTTGAAGAGTTTTTGATACTTTATTTACTGCAGCGCATATAGTGCAAAAGATAAAACGGGTTTGCTGCTCAAGGTCGCCATATATAGATAATTTCCGGAAAGGACAAGAGAGGAGTGAAAAGTTTCGTGGATGTCACCAAAAAAGGGAAACGAGCATAAGTCTGGAAAACCGTAAATCTACCAAGATGTGTATTAACTGCCCCAAAAAATGAATTACTCTGTACTGAATGACTACGATGAAGTCCTGGATTTCCAACATAGCATTCTTCAGGAACTACAAAAACGTAAAGTTGCTGTAATTGCTGAATAGCTGTTCGAAATATTAGGCTGTACGATTCCTGCATTTACAAATAGAAAAAAATGTTTGAGAATGCTCAGCAAACTAATCAATGTCCGTTATATTCTTTCTGTAACTGCTGTACTACAACTAAAATTTTATGAAACAAATCAGAAAATCAATTTGCAGCAAATCAATGAATCGAATGAAAAAAATCGAAGTCTATATTTTCAGAGACATCCAATCACCGGCTTTTTTGGATAATGAAGAGTAGGTCATAGAATCAAGGTCATTAATAAATTTATAATTTAGTAGGTGTATTAGCAACTGACCCTCAAAATTTGAAAAGTCGTATAGTATTTAGGTGTTTTTCTCTTAATGAGCTTGTCGTTGCGATACGCCAACAAAAAATTTTAGTGTAAGCACGCAAAAAAAGATATCTTCTCTCTACTATGTATCAAATCAGAAGATCTTTAAAGCTAGAGAAAACAAGGGCATTTCGAGAATTTTGGCGCATGATTTATACATCAACCTAATATTAAGATGCGTGAACTTTGTATGACGCTGAAGGAACTTATTTGCTTTGTTGATTACGCTGCTTAGGAAAGGCTTTGGAATGCTGATTCGGGAACTATAACCACAAAAGTGCAAGTAGATTGAACGCTCTGATTAGGATTGGGATTGGAAAATCTTTCGACTCGTACAGGTGGTTTTATCTTTTGAGGTTTTGCAGAAATCACATAGTTTGAAAAATGGTGTCCTTCACAACTAGCCTTACTTTGCAAACTTTTGGGGTAACGATTTCTCAGAAGTGTCTAAAACCCAACAGAGTTGTTCTTTAGGGAAAGCTATGCAGAACTGACCATCAGAGTCGCTCCTGAGCGTATTTCTAGAGGGTTTGTTCTTTTTCCTTACTAACGCAACCCTGAGTATAAAACATCCTGATTGAAGACTACGAAGAATAAGCTTTTTAGGTGGTCAATAAAACTCGATTAAATTCTCCTTACAATTAGTTTAATTATCCAGTATCCATTGCAATTCTACCAACAGAGTGAAAAATTCGTTTGGAATTATTTTCATTGACCAGTGCGCCATAATTTCTGCAAAAGGTAGTATTTACTTCAGGTCCAACGGAATTTTGCAAGATAATGCTCCTCCTGTGACTAAAAGAGTATTATGGAAGTTTTACACTAGGTTTTTGATTTCTTTTGATTGATGTCATTATCTAAACCGATATCAAAACTCTCTAGTTATAGAATACAAATGGCCCAGCTGGCTGCCGCTATTGATCAGTAGAGGAAAGGAAAACAACTCCTGAACGCATAACACAGCACTGTTTACTACGCACGTTCCCCTCGCAAATGTATAAGAAACTTCACGTTTTTAGTTCTACCACTTTGACCTTATATAAAAGTAATGTTGGCTTAACTTCATGCTTATCATGTGTTTTTCAAAAACTCGAATTTACTGGCTTTTACAAGAAAATAGCTCATATTAAAATATCGCTTTTTCTTGCTCGAATTAAAAAAGCTGCTCTTTTGCAAATGTAACCTCTCCCGTAGTTACAGAATTACTGAATTGACCGCGCAAATTTATGCCTTCATCTTGATTTTGCTGTGTTTTTCACATTTAAAGGTCCAGTGCAAGCACTTTCGTTGGGTTTTGGTGCTCCAGCCATCGATTATTTGCTATTTTTCAATTTGAGCTCCTCTGGATCAAAGGCATATGCTGTTTGGATCACTTATTTTTCTCTTTTTGAAACAATTACGG